TATTGCTTCAGTTTCATGTATTCTCAAAACTTTTAAAGGGTTTGCTGGTTCTTTTCTTCGATTTTTCTTGTATAATTGTCCATTGATAACTAAAAAGTGTTTGGATTGTTGTTGTAATCTTTGTTTTTCTTTTTCCAAATATCCTACAGGATATTGTAAAGTTTCTAAATAATTAACTAGTGCTGAATATTGTTGTAATTCCATGGTTATCTATTAATTAAGTCGTGATAAGGCATCAGCATTTTGATTGACTTTTCCAGAGCGATATGTGACTATAAAATTATATTCCATCATTTCCATAATTCATATTGCAATTCTTGGTCCAGGATTTGATTGTTTGTGAAATAACTATCTCAATGCATTGTGATTAGTTGTTACTTCGAATAGGGTTCCAAGAAGATAGTGTCTGAACTGTCTAACTGCCCACACAACAGCTAAAACTTCTTTTTTAGTTGTGCTATAATTCTTTTCACTTGGTTTTAATGTGACGCTTGGATATGCAACAACTCTTTCTTTTCTATTAGCATCTTGTTGGGCTAATATTGCTCCAAGTCTATGATCAGAAGCATCAGTATATAAGTAAAATTTTCGTGTAAAGTCAGGATAAATTAATATGGATGCTAAAATGAGTTTTTGTTTTAGTTCTTGAAATGCTCTTTCTTGCTCTTGTGTCCATATGAAAGTGATGTTATTTTGAAGTAATTTGAATAATGGTGATGCTATTTGTGAGAAACCTTTAATAAACTTTCTATAGTATCCAGCTAGTTCAAGAAAAGATCTCAATTGTTTTACTATTCTGGATTGAGAAAAGTTTTTGACTTTTTCAACAGTTGATGGGTCTGGTGAAATACCTTCAACAGTGATAATGTATCCAAAAAATGGTAGTTCACTTCAAAATAGATTGCATTTTTCTGGATTGAGTTTAAGTTCAACTTTACGAAGCTTTTCAAAAACTTTTTGTAAGTGTTTCAAATGTTTATCAAATATTTGAGAATGAATATTAATGACATCCAAATAGATCAATATAAATTGATGCTTGTATTTAGCTAAAATAGTATCCATAGCTCGTTGGAAAGTTGCAGGACTATTACACACTTCAAATGGCATTGAATTAAATTCAAACAAACCTTGCTTAGAAATGAAAGCTGTTTTTGATTTGCTATTTTCTTCTACTGGTATTTGCCAATACCCTGAAGATAAATCCAATGATAAAAATTATTTTGAGTTTCTAAGACTGTTTAGCATTTCATCAATTCTTGGAAGTGGATATGCATCTTTTTGAGTGACTGAATTCAATTTTCTATAATCTATACAAAGTCTTTTCTTTCCATTCTTTTTAGATACTATAATGATTGGAAAGGTCTAGAGACTTATAGAAGATTGTATAATTCCAGCTTGAAGCATTTTTTGTATCTCTTTAGCAATGAATTCTTGGTCTGAAATTGTTGCTCTATATGAACGCGTTTGATTGAAATGGCTCTATCAGTGTTTATTACATGTTGGACACCTTGAATACATTCAAGTTTACTGAGTTCTTGTATAAAAATATCTTTATATGCTTCCAAAAGATTATTAAGTGAATGTTGTTGCATGATGATTAATTCTTTTTGTTGTATAATTAGTTTCTCAATTACTTGTTGAACAAAGTAATTTCTCTTGCAACTAAGTTAGTAAAACTGAAATTATCAGTTTCTCTCTCAGTTTCACCAAGTTCTTCTCGAGTTGGTACTGAAATTAGCTTTTCAACAGATGTAGTTGTAGAAAAACTGCTTGTGCAATTCTAGCATTTGGAAGAATATCATAGGATTATTGAGAGTTGTTGTGAAATAATACACTGATATTTCCAGTATATCCAGCATCAATTGTTCCACCTTGGACGTTGATACCAATTTTTGCAAGTAAAGATCTTGAAAAGATTTGAAAAACTGTTCCAGTTGGAATTTCTATTGCAATTTTAATATCAATTAAAATTATTTGTTGAGATGGCACAGTTAGCACTTCTGTGCCAAAATAATACAAATCAAAACCTGTATCAGTGTTATGCATTCATTTGGGTATAATTCCTTCTTCATTGTTATTGTAAACTTTGAGACAATAATTCATTTCTTTGATTTCTTCTTTTTCTTTATAATATTCATCCAGGATTTTTTCACAAGTGTCATAATCACTTCCATTGTCTTCTTTGACCAATTGTTGGATTATTTGTTGAATTGACTGATATATTTCTTCAAAGGTTTGAGAAATATCTTCAATATCAATTGGTGATAATGATTGTATATTATTTTGGAATGTTTCCAATATTTGTTGAGCTTCATTGAATGATTTTTGATAATAATTATATTGTAATTCACTTGTTAGGTCATTGATTTGATTGATTATTATTTCCAGGTCATCAATATCTTCTTTTTGCTTGCCTTTATTAATAAAAAGTTGTTTTGATTGTATACAGTCAGAGCAAAATTCACTATTACATGGAATTAAACATTCTTTACAAAGCTTGATATTAATATGTTCCAAATAATCTAGTTGCAACCTTCTTTCTGATGTAATTTGTTGATATATTGCTTGGAAGATTTCAGCAACAGTTGCATCTTCTGGATTATTATATGAAATTGTGCCCATTTCATTCTCAATGTCTTCTTCACAAATATAGCGTGATAGAATAACCTTTCCAATCTCATTACATTGGATATATACTGAAATTAATAATTCATAATCTCTTAGTTTTCTAATAATATTTCTATTTCGCTGTCATCCATCATGATTGAACCAATATACACATTATTTAAAGTAGTCACAAAAGTATTTCTTGTCATAACTACCAGTAATATACATATTTCTGGCTTCATCTCGATGTCCACAATATGAACAAGATGGAAGATTAAGTTTCTTTTCTCCATGACATTGTTCACAAGCTGTTTCGAAAACATTTTGTGATGTAAGATAAGATTTGGAATAGTATTCTTTTACATACTTTCTACACTCTTTACATCTGACAATTTCAAAGGCTGAATTAATGGCTTGTTGGACTTCATCAAAGATATCAAAGTGTTGGTTGTTACAAATATAGTTATCAACTAATAATTAACACTTTAACCAATCAAAATATAACAAATTGATACGCTTACGTCACCATAATTTCCGAATATTCAAGTATTTTAAGGATACACGCCCATAGTCAATATATACATTTAGAGATCTATTTAGCAATTAACTATCACTAAAGATACATGCTGTTCGATCAGAAATTGTAAAAAATACCTAAAGAATAGATAGAAGAATGTGAATCGGAATAAAAGGAAAGAAATTATCCAAAAAAATGATGATCGTGAAAGGAATCGATAGATAGAAATAGAAAAAAGAGCGAAATCAGATGATAGATTTGCGACCAAAGAATAGGAGGAAGAATTGTGTAACAAGTAAAAATTAATTAAACGACTTTGTGATTAATGTGAGATTAATACATATGATAAGGAAAGTGACATCTATTTATGATTAACTACCAAGTACGATAACACCACCCGCTCCAAAAAGCATGCCTGCGATGACAGTGCCTACCACTTCCCATTTAATACGTTTTCTTTTTCGTTCAGCTACTGCTAACCTTCTTCGTAGTTCATCAACATACTCTTTAGAAGGAACAATTTCATAACCTTCATTTTCCATTTCTTCATATGTACGTTTCCTGGCTGTTAATGATCTTTCTTCTTTATTCCCATAATCATTTTTAATCATTTTGTCATTGTCGGTTTTTATTTCATCTAAATCCATGTCTCGTTGCACATCGGATAATTGATAATCATGTTTTCGATCAAAGCTTTCTGATTGATTATTATCGTTTCGAATTTCATTATGCTCGAATTCCATCTATAAATGATGTTTATTATATTAAATCCCAAATAATAACAACGAATTGGCGTTCATTTCACTTACCAGTTGTGGATCTCTATTGCGCTTATCGGAGAGTTCGTTTGATTTAGTTGCAATGGGAATTGGAATTTTGGAAACATCATTCTGATGATTTGTTATTGAACGTTCATTAGAAGAGGGATCCTTTGTTTGTTCAATATTTGCAGAATCTTTTGACTTTGGAAGTGGAAATCCCTTGGAATTTGGAATAGTCGATTCTTTTGATTTGGAATGATGAGAATGATCTTTAGATTTATTTACATCTTTTAGTGTCGTTGGTGGGACTTGCTCCTTTTTTTCTGTTGACGAAATTGATGTCACGTGTTCTTTTTTCACCAAATCTGATGCAACTTTTTCCTTTTTCGTCACATTATTATTATTACTAACACTGTTATCGCTAGATAAGATTGATGATGTGGCGTGTTCCTTTTTCACTACAATACTACTACTACTATTATTATTATTATTATTATTATTATCATCATCATCATCATTATTATCGTTACTACTACTACTACTACTATTATTATTATTATTATTCTTACTATTACCCTCTCTTAATATGGTTGAAGTGACTTGCTCCTTTTTTGCCACATTATTATCGTTAGATACTGCTGAGTTATTGTTGTTGTTCACTCCATTAGTATCATTAGAAGTAGATGCAGCTTCCTGAGTTTATAAGTTAAATACTATTTAATATTTAACAATCAATGACATATTTAAGATCATATAGTTGAAAATATTTCATACTTCTTGTTGTGATTTTGGCTGTTTATCTTTTTCTTCGGGAGCATTTTCACGTTCTTGTATGAGATCATTTTCCGCGTCTGATTCAATTTCGATTGCTTCTGTTTTGGGTTCTTGATTTTGTGGTTGTGGTGGAGCGGTGTGTGTTCGTATGTCACGATGAACTGGTGGTTGTGAATGATTATTTGTTCGATCAGTATGATCAGGTCTTGCATTTGAATGCGGTGGAATCAACCGCGTGTTTGTGTTGCCATTCTCTAACAAAAAATACAATATGATTTAATCAATGTACCGATCAAAATATACATTAATTTATTAATATTTATACATACCAATATCTCTTTGTCGGGCCGTATAATTGTTGCCAACACCATTACCAACAATGCCATTACCAATTCCATTAGTTGTTGCATTATTCGCTGGTGCATTTTGAGCAGGATTAATCTCCCGACGATCCAATACCACAGGAAAAGGTGGATCCATGCCACCACTCTCGGACGGGTACCAAACATAGGCCGATAAATGTTTATATAGATCTGTAATTTAGTATTATATATTTGCGTATGAGCTTAGCATATTAAGCATACATATCTAATATCTAACATAATAAGTAGCTTACTTTGATTACGTCGCACACTATGTCCAAAAGTAATTACATCCTTATGTTTCAAAGGATAAAATTCACTTGCAGCTGTCCCATTGCCAATGCGATAATTATTTATAAAAGTGCCATGTGTACTCTTCATATCTTTAATCCAAATCTTTGTGTTTTTATCATATTTAAACAGTTTAGAATGATTAAGTGAATGAATGTATTTTCAGTTAATTAATTAATATTACCTTTCCATCTATTTCCTGTAACAAAGCATGTTCTCTCGACATTACATCGCACAAAAATACGCCATTATCTTGCTTTGACTCTCTTTGATTTCGACTTCCGCTCACCCGTCCAACCTTCATCTCCATCCCAGAAGTAAAGCGAAGCTCTTTATGCACAAAATTAACCGAATCAGCTAACGGGAATAATTTAATAGCTGTGGCCACTGTTGTATTCGAGGAAAGTGAATGACCAATGATTGTCATTTGTTTAATAGTCTTCTGATGATCAGGTGTATATATGTCGAGTACAAAAAGTAAGAAAATTAATCTTTAGTACCTCTTTGAGTTTGTGTATGATGACCATGTTGAATATTTTGACGTCGCTCATCAGCTTGTTGCTATAAACACATGGGAATGGATATATAACAGCCGAATGATTAATATTAAAATTTGAAATCATAATAACAATAACATGACTATTTCTCCGTAACAAAAGTCAATAATAGAATACCCTAGCTTGAGTAAGGGCTGCCGTTCTTGGATCGATAACGTTAGAGTTGATATCTTGCAATGAGTTGTCTTGCTCTGACGATCTTTGGTCAGTTTGCTCTGGAGGCATCTTGTATCTTTTTTGAAAAGGTAATTGGTATTACGTGTGTAATGGAACTCTATATATTTCAAATTTCACTCTATTTTTTAATTCGCTATCAGGTTGCGGAAGGAAGTTTACTAAATTGAATAATATTTAGTCAATGTTTATCAAGGAATAATTAAAGGAATTACAATGAGTCCGATCTCATTAATTGCAAATATTTCAAGAGCAAAAAAAAACAAAGTATACTTCAAAAGTAATAAAATAATACATATTTTGTTTAGTTACCTTTGGAGAGAGACCCGTTATTGTCACTACCTACCAAACTGAAAACATAATAAAGTTTAAATTATGGTTGATTTTAAAAGTTCACCAAATAATTTTCAGACCTTATTGTCAGTTTTGTTTAATACAAACGAGAGAAAAAGGTAAGGGGTATTTCAACTACGACTACGCCAAAAGTCCAAAGTGAATATTTGATCGATCGATTCAATTAATTTGTTTATTATTGATTTTTTGTATATTCGAATAAATGAATATTTAGTAAATATTCATTTTTAATTGTGGCACAAATTTTATGTGTATTCAATTCAGCTGCTGCTGAATTCTGTGTAATTTTGTCCAGACAAAGAATCATGTAAAAATAAAAAAATACTGTACGTTGAAAACGCATTTCATGTGCGAGATTCTTGCATTAAAACCAGTCACCAAGTTAAGTGTGCAATTTTTCATATGCCTCCCGAAATAATACAATAAATGAATCTGCCTGAAAGTATATTCATTAAGATGAATCTTTATTTATTCGAATACAAAAAACAAATTATTTTGATTCTTGTATAACAAAATAAATATCGCAAAATTCGCTTTTTGGACTTTTGGCGGACATATCGATATTACATGTATTTGATTACATGGTAAATATTTTAATATCAATAGATATTCGAATTTGTGATACGACAAATCCGGAGATGAAGATTATAATTACGTATAAAATTCTGTATTTCCTATGTGCACAATTCAGAATTCTGATCAACTTATCGTTATCGTTATAGAATACATGTATTAAGATGACTTCTGAAAAGTATTAATATTTGGAATCATAATAATGCATGTTAGTTCAAAGAGTTCACCTTATAATAAATTATATAATAATTTCTATTAAATTAATATACTTTCAACTTCAAATGTTCATATACATTTATCAAAACTTCACTAATATACAAGAATCGTTCTTGTCCTTTCTTCCTTAGCGGCTGTTCACTTTTAGATATCCAATACATTAACCTATCATTATATGACAAAAATACTATATAAATTTATCATATGCGACAAGTATATAAGACTTTTCTTCAAAAAGTAATTTTAGTCATGTTTCTATTTTCATTTTTTTTGCCATCGAATACTGGTATCAAACTTTTCTAACTCTAACATTTTATGTAAAAATATTGTCCAGTATGTTACAACATCTTCTCATTCATGATTATCAATATACATTCCTTTTTTCATGTAAGGAAATTCGTAACCAGATATTTTTAAGTAATTATGCGCTGTATTGACATAAATTGTTGAAGGTGAATCAAATCTGAAATCTGTAAAATGTAATATAATAAATATATATTATTTCTATATTTTCAAAAATTATTGTATAATGTACCAGAAAGAATATTATTATTTATGAATTCTGCTAAAATCTTGGGGATATTTCAAATTGGTTAGATTGAATAAAAAATTTTATTTGGCTAACAATATTCTCATTCCAGAGAAACATAATAATTTTAATATGATCATATCTTGTTATCTATTAATTAATATAAGTTTTAAAAATCACAATTAAACAAGTCATTTTAGTGTATTTGTCATATTTTAATTATCAAAAGTATTTGAAACTTAATATAATTATTTGCTCATATCTGAATATTTCTAGTATAATATAATTTTGATCAAGAATTTTACTTATTGTTATCTTTATTCTTAACCATTTTTTATTAAAAAAACTAAGATATTGGAGCATAGCTTGAAAATGCAACTTGAGAGCAAGAAAACTTTGTTGCTAAATATTTTTTAAAAATTTCTTACTATGACTTTTGAAATATCTTTTTCTTGTTTTTTATTTTTTTTAACTTTCTCAATTTTCTTAATTTCATATCTTTTTAGTAGAAATTTCATTAATATATATTTTTTCTGTTAATATTTCTAAAAAAAAGTTTTTAGAATTGATATTTATAATATTGCTTTCTTAAAAAAAACTTTCTGTCATTATCTTGTTATTCTCAAATTATTCATATATATTAATTTTTGATTATTATTTATTTATTTTTATAAGCTTAAACATAATGTTTTTGTAAATTGATCATAATTTTCATTAATATTAAATTCACAATTAAAATTATTATTCAAGTAATTATTTTTTATTTTTCAAATATTACTTTTTATTTTTGGACTTTTATTATAATAGTTATTTGTTGCTTTCTCTTAAACAAACAAAATATATTTATAATATAAAAAGACATGAAAAACTCAATATTTGATTTCAAAAATAATAAAAAAAAATAAAAAATCTGATTAATATGAGTTATAAGAAATTTATTATAATAACTATATTTAAAAAGATTAATTAATTTTATTTAATATTATTACTATTTTGATTAACTTTTGAAATATTCAAAGATATTTATATCATTCAAGAAAATTTTCAAAGAAAACTTTATGATAATTCAAAATATTAATAATATTTTACAATTATTAAACTAAATATAAATAAATATTAAAAATACTAATAATAAAATTACTTAAAAATTAATAATAATTTATATTCTTTAACACAATAATCTAAACAACTAGAAAATATCATCAAAATTTTGAAATCAAATATAATTCAAAAACAGATTTATAAATTATAATAATAATTTCTTTATTTAAATATAACTTTAATAGACTTTATCACAAAGTGTCTAGAACTAATTTCTAAATAGTATAATATCCATGATAAATATACTTAAGTAACTAATATTTTATTTAAGAATTATATAATACTTATAATAAAAATACTAAAGTAATTATATAAGAAACAAGAATATATTTTGTCAAAAGAATATAAAGAGAAGTTTGTACTTGACTATCTATATAAAATACAAAACTAGTTTATATAAATAATCAAAAATATGTAATAACATAACTAAATATAAAATAATAATTAAGAATTATTATTATTAAGAACTTGTTTTTAATTTAATTTTAATAATTGTAATATATATTTCTTTTATATATATTCAAACTATAATATAGTTAATATATAAATTCATATTTGCTAGCTAACTTAAATTTTATTAATTTAATATTTGCTTATTTATTCACTCATTTATTTATTTATTTATTTATCCACTAAATTACTTATTTATTCTATATGATTATGTTTTTTTAATAAAATATAAAATATTGTTGTATAATAAACTTTAATTAAATATTTTATTGAATTACTTATATTTAATATTATTGGATTATAAATATTTCATATATTATTAAAAGAATATACTTAAATAAAATGAATAAGCAACTTGGTAAGCAAATAAATAAAAAAGTAAACAAATAAGTAAATAAGTTAACAAATAAGTAAATATTGAATTAATAAACTTTAAGTAAACTAATAAATATGAATTTATATATTAGTTATATTATAATTTGAATATATATAAAAGTAATATATATTATAATTATTAAAATAAGATTAGAAACAAGATCTTAATAATAATAATTAATTTTGATTATTTATATAAATTAGATTTGTACTTAATGTAGAGTAGATAATTGAGCACAAATTTCTCTTTACATCCTTTTGACAAAGTATATTCTTGTTTCTTATATAATTACTTTAATATTTTTGCTATAAGTGTTATATAATTTTTGAATAAAATATTAGTTATTCAAGCATATTTGTTATAAATATTATACTATTTAATGATTAGTTTTAGACTTTTTGAACATATTTATAACAAAGTTTATTAAAGTTATATTTAACTAAAGAAATAATTTATAAATTTGTTTTTGAATCATATTTGTGATAATATGAATATTATAATCTTTATATATTTGATTTCAAGATTTTGAGAATACTTTCTAGCTATTCAAATTATTATATTAAAAAACACAAACTATTATTAATCTTTAAGTAATTTGTCACTAGTACTTTTAGTATTTATTTATATTCAGTTTAATAATTATAAAATATATTTTGAATATTATTAAGATTATTTTAATATTATATTAATATCTATTATTAAAAGCAAATTTGGTATTATTTCTTTTTTAAAGCTGAAAAAATTAAAGAAATCTATATAGTATTTGTTATTTTAGACTGAGTTTTAATAATATTTATTGAAAATTAAAGTTCATTACTATTAATTTATTCAAATTTCTGAATATTATTATTATATTTTAAGATATAATTTATTAACTAATATAAAAATTTTATCAAAAATATTTATAAAAGATATAACAAAAAAATAAAAAAAATAAGATATATAACTAAAAAAATGATAAAAGATAAACTAATATTTTTGTGAAATTTTGATAATTATATATATATTTAATTTTTTAGAGAAATTGAGTTAAAATTAAATATTAAATTAATAAGGATAAAATTTTAAAAAGAAATAGTAATTAATTAATTATTATTTATTTAAAAAATTAAGAGCATAAAATTCTTTTAATAAATTATATAACTATGAATTTTTAATATTTTAGATTCATATAAGGAACTAATTTTTATTTTAAGTTTTTATATAAGTATGTTCAGTTTTACAAGTTATTTAATATTTGTTTTTATTCAATAGTTAATTTTTGAAATATTATTATATTATTTAATTAGTTATAATTTGTAGTACAAATTTAATAAATACAATTTTTAATTGGTTCAGCTCTTCTTTGTATTTGTTGTTATTTGATAATTCTTTTAGAGATAATCACATATTTATTGCTTGATAATAATCAAGAAATACTATTAATAATATTATTTTTACTATTAGTTTGTA